AAAGACCTGCAAAAACCCACTGAGGACTCTGACTCCTCCTTTACCCGATCTGCATGGGATCAGAAAACCTGCACTGTGTCCTGTCCTGCCTTTACAGGGGATTTCTTCACCCTTTATATACAAAGAAACTGAGTCAGGTAGCACAAAGTATTGTCTTACAGATACAGAGAAACATCTCTCGGATCTCCATTGAAACCTCTAGGTTCAGGTTTGCTTTAGCTGCCTTCTCTAAGATCTTTCCCTTTGCTTAAAACAACGAGAATTTATTGTTTCACAGTTCTGAAAGTTAGAAGACCAAAATCAACGTACTGGCAGAGTTTATTCTCTCTGAAATCTCTAAGCAAAAATCTCTCCTCTGTCTCTGAGTTTCTGGTAGTATCTGGCATCCTTGGCTTATAAATGCATCACTCCAATCTTCCATTTTCACAGGCATTCCTCTCTGTGTCAGTATTTTCACATGGATGTGTCTTCACTTGATTCCTTATCATAATAACAGTCACAATAGATTAAGGGCCCATCCTCCTTCAGTCTAACCTCATTTTAGCTTAATTGGTTACATCTGCAAAGTCGGGTTGCGTGAAGTGCCTGCTGCCAGACATTATGTAGCCAGGGCAGCAGTGTGTAAGGAGGGAGGGACTGCGATTTGTCCCATTTGGGTTAAGAGTCCTTCCCCCAGTCTGTCAAATAAACCAGGGGTTGCGGAGTACCATACTACATGCCACATTCAGGTGATAGAGGGGGAAAGATGGGACAATATTTCAAAGGAAGGAAGAAACTTCCCAATAAAATAGGAAGTGGACATGCTACATCAATAAAGGCAATTTATTTGCATCCATATGCATTAATACATAACAAAATTTCTATTTGTGAACCTGTAAGGAAACACAAGGATGAGTCTGGCTCGACTTTTGAAAAATTACAATCACATTTTAACTAATTAGAGTAAATATAAGTTGAGTCACCAATGCTGATTAGATAATGACTTAAATGCAAAACTTTTATCTCCACTACAACTAGGTATTATTACATTTTTCTGAAAACTGGGGTGACTTTGCCATTCCATGTATTTTCAGAAGCCTTTGGTTGCAAAGTGATAGACAATCTAATTCACACTGGCTTAAGCAGAAAAAAGTATTAGTTACAAACTCAGTTAAACATTTAATGGACATTTAAAAGAAAGTGAATTTGATTCAAAGAGGATATTATATTGAATGCTTGACAACTCAGAGACAGAAATAAATATTGACTTCTTGATCCTACGCTGGCCAGAGTAAGTTATCCAGCCACAAATCTAAGTAAAGAAACATTAAAAATAAGCAAACATGTAAATATCAAAACAAACATGTACAGTCCAACTCCCGGCTGACCCTGTCTCTTACTGAGGAAATGTGAAAAACTAGTCAATGTTGTCATCATGCAAACTCAGTTCTCTGGAACTTGGTGAGGTTTTCAGTGTTTAGATAAATTATTTTGGCAAATTTAAGTATTTTACTTGAAACTGCCAAATAATGCAACAAAGATGCATCATGAATGATGAGGTGAGGGCTGAATTCCGCTGACATCTTTGAAAGTCCCCTGTGGTCATGTCATGCTACAAAGGGTAGTAAAGAGGATAAAGAAGAATCTAACACTTGCCAAGCCCTGGACGTATTAAGTCAAAAAAATTAAAAACGTGGGGTCTCCCTGGTGGCAGAAGGGTTAGGTACAGCACTGTGAAGCTATTTGCAGCCACTGCAGCATGAGTTCGATCCCCGGCCAGGGAGCTACCCAATGGTGTAGCAGACCTCTCCTGTCTCGCCCGCTGCTCCCCTCAGCAGTGCATTTCAGTAGATCTTCCTGTTCTGCTCCCTACTCTGTCTCTGGTGAATCCTCTCACTCCCCACACCTCTGGCCTGTACCCCAGTTCTTGTATGCATAAATAAATCTTTAAAAAAATTAAACACTTGTCAGACTTGACACTGAAACTAATGATTACAATATGCATCTGGAAAATGGGCTAGCATTGTTAAATCAGAGGGAAGGCATTATTTTATCTTTGTTCCTTTTAGATGAAAAATGCATAGGAAACACATTTTAGCTGCTAACATCATGCCATGAGAGAACCTAAGCCTTCGGTGCAGGTCATCCTTACAGACTTGATTCATGGCCCCAGCCTGTGAGTTCTGATTATGATTCTGCAGCTAAGGATAGATTGTGACTAGGACCTACTTTTCTCTGACACTGCAGATCTGTATTCTGAGTAACCATAAAATGGTGCTGCCAGGAGCCTTTACTTGTAGGACTCTGTGGGGAGAGGAAAAAAAGATTAAGAGGAATTGACAAGTTGTGATAGAGAGCATTTTAGGCTTTCCATGAAGGCCCAACAGTCTATAAATATAAAAATATACAAATGCGTTCCAAACAAATCCATTCTTGCCAATATCAATGTAAAAAGATTTGAAGGGACTGTACTTGGCTTTTAGCTGGATACAATTCAATGATATCAGGTGCTGATTTGTAAACAATTTAAACAATGCTCTTTGTTGTTGTACAAATGTGAAGTGGTGGGATTCCTCTGGGAATTCTGAACAAGCAAATATTTTTGTTAGACATGGCAGTGTTTTACAGGAATACGTTATTATCATTGGTTTCAGTGCAAGTCCTGAGAAGAATTTTTACTTAGCATGTAAAGGGCTTGGCAAAGCCTCCCATCTGGGGTGTGGGGATCAGACCTATTAATATGAGAATTACAAATCTCAGAAGGCATGGATGGGAGAATAAACTTCATACTCTGCATATGTAGCAGCTATATTAACATGATAGATTTTTACTGCTCTATAGGATCCATTACTGTGTTTTGGGCCAGTAGTCCATGAATTTGAAGGATTTATACAATAGACCATAACAGCTCCTTAGGAACGATTATGTCCCATCAGATGAAAAAATGTCTTTTTAAAACCTTCCTATTAACCTGTTTGCTCCATAGACCATAATCCTTTGAAGGTTAAATTATATACATAGCAAAATGGGCCAAATCACCTCATTTTGTGTTTTAAAATGTATTTATGGTGAAAAAGCTCTCCAAAATGGGAGAGTGGAAATTGTACCCAAGAGTACCATCAAATCAAGGTGATTTTTAAATGATTTTAAAGCAACAGGCACTACTTGCAATTTCTGCCAAGACTGAAATCTTGATAATCCAGAGTTAACACTTCTGTTACGTATCATTTACATTCATAATCATCTAAAAATAGATCAAACAATTGAATAGCCAAGTAACAGGAGATAAGAGCTCTGAAAACTTGGGCAGGCACAACAAATTTTGATAAAGATGTACACTATAAATTAAATAGAAAAATATTGAAATATTTTATGTTACTAATGTGTTATTAATGATTGATACTTATTTAAATGAGAAGTCAGATCGTAAGAGTTTTGAATTGTTTATACAATTTCCTTCCTTTCACAAATAGTGTTTTACTTAGTATTCTGTTGAATACATGCTAAGTATTTAATGTATTTTAATTTATTTTTTTTTTTTTTAAAGATTTATTTGCACAAGCACTGGTACAGTCAGTTTACACTGCTGAGTTGCGCGCCATGTACCCTTCTGTCGAACCGGCGCTGCAGAGGCTGCGGGCAGCTGCGCTCAACCGCTAAGTATTTAATGTATTTTAATTTATGTATCAATGGGATCTAAATTATTAATTTAATACCTTGCTCACATAATAGGAGTCTTTTGGAAACACTGCCTTAGCCCATAAAAGCAACTCTGAAATGCTGGAGAAGAGTTTGATGATCCAGGCATCCTGCTGCCCCTTCTGGTAAACCACAAAGAGCCTCCCACAACTGCCCAGAACCAGACCTAAGAGAGAGATGCTACCTTTTCAAAGGATGATGGGATCGAAATATTTAAGATTTGGAGCATAAGGTTAAATTACTTAATTAAAAAAATTTAGAGACTAATAGTAAATGAGTCAAATTCCAAAAAAAGATGATTTTTTTTTTCAGTCATGTACTTCAGAAATAGTCTTTTTACTACTGTCTTTGCATGCTGTTCTCCTTCCTCTGAATTCCTGTGACGTTCATTATTTCCCTATATGTTTTGGACAAGTACTTTGAAATCTTTGGAGAAAATTGCACTGTAAATCTAAAGAGAAATAGAAAATAAACACAATATAAATCTAAAGAGGAAGAGAAAATCAACATCTATGAACTCTCCCAAAGTCCTCTCTTTTCCTCCCTAACATGTAATAGGCTCAGGGAAAAAACAGAATGGACAAGACAATTAAAAAAATGATGATAAAATTACACCCTCTAGTTAAGAAAGCTCAGTTTTCCTACTCAAATGTTAGTTTCTTTATCACCCTGATTCCCTGTTAGCATACAATATGGCAGTTACCCATCTTTACTATCTCATGGTGCAATACTGCTCAGACAGAGATCTGTAAATGGATTTAATGATAATATGGATCCTTCCTAATCTGTATGCTATGCCAGCTCATCTGTGAGTTTATGCATTATTAAATATGTTGTGATAATTAAGAAGGCCACACTTTTAAAGTTATCCTTGCCTAACCAAAATATAAACAGCCAGTACAATTGCTTAGCCCTTCTAAACATCATTTCCTCCCAATGGTAGAGAGATTAAAAGTGAAAAATTTCAAGTAGTTTTTTCCTTCTCTCTTCCATACCTGGCAAGAAAGAGGACTATTTCAATTTCACTCAGTTGTTTCTCTTAAAGACATGCAGGAGTAAATTGCTGTTGTAAATACCTCCAAGACTTGGTTTCCTTTTGTGTCTTCATTTGAGCTGAAGGCCCATATTACAACTTGATAAGAAGATACTCCCCAAATATTGTGGCTCCCTAGAAATTTATAATTTGCTCTTAAAATGTGCAGTTGAAGTATAAATAGGAGGGCAACATCACATGGATGAAATATCTTGAGGATCTACTCTCATTTTCAAATTGGAGTTGGAGTAATATAGAAGTTAAAAAGGTGCTTGCCTTTCCACAGGAAACCACAGAATGTCCTCATTTCGCTCTTATTTTGGAAGCCTGTGCCTAGTGCCTGCCAAAAGGAAAGGGTAAAATTACATTGGCTATTATTCAAATCTGCTTCATGACATTGGGGTAATGGTTTCATTTCCTTTCCAAATATACTAGTCATGCAATTAGGCAATAGACTTTTGATTTTTTAATACCTAGTTGTGAATATTTGGCAATGGAAATGCCAATGGGCACAAATTCATGAATATAAAATGTTATCTTTTCACATAAGCCTGCAAAGGGTAAAGCTTCTGTTGAAGGGATTTTAATTTATCTTATTACCTTGTAAATCACTAATGGCAATACTTTTTTAATGGATTTATTTACTGAAAATATATACTGAATGTGGGAGTTTTGTATATATCTTGTTACAATTTTTGTTTGGCCATCTTTGAAGATTCAAGTTTATTAAAGGGAAATAATATTGAGAGTTTAATAATGAAAAAAATCTCTCACTTTTATATTCTTTGCATTCCTGATTGTGACCTAATTTAAGCTCTGTGCACCAGACCAGCATATGAGCTGTGTATAGCACTACAGAGTATAACATATTAGACAGACAGCTAACCTTCTTTACCCACCTCTCCCAGGCAAAACATGCACCAGTCACATTACTGAGCTTTAGGTAAACCTAATGTTGCCCTTGATGGGAGAAAGAATATCAGGTTCATTAATATTGTAAATAATATAATCAATTGGGAACACAATGTGTCAACCACACATTAGAAACATTTGCTTTTAAAACCTCCCCCAGCAATTACCCAATTGGTATTTATAAATTACAATCACACACAGATCAAGGAAATTCGCTAGAGCAATTACCTATGCATGAATGATTTCACCTTTCAGGACACAAGTAGAAGTAAGACATCAAATAAAACTAGTTTATCTTTCACTATCGCTTGGAGCTTGAGTGCTAGTCATGTTTGAAAACTGGTATGATGGGCCAGGGTAAGGTCATATTCCCATCCCGGTAATTAATAAGCAAGCAAAAGAAAAAAAAAAAGGATAGTGGAAAAATGAAAAATAGAACAGAAAGAAATAATTAGTGCAACCAAATATCTGCCTTAATTTTTCATAAACAGGTTGTGAAATCATTTGCAATTGTATTTGATCTCAGCCTGGAACTACTTTCTAAACAAGAACGTGAAGACTGCATGAACACCAAAAAAGTAATTCCATAAAACTATACCATATAACTATTTAACAGACAATTCCATTATTTTCCATCTAACAGGACTATGGCAACCATCTTTAAGGTTTCAAACACTGCCTGGTTCCAATAAAAGATAAATTTCCTCTAGCTTCAGGTTAGAGGGTGGTGAGTTTTGAGAATGTGGAAGATGGTAAGGAGGTACTAAATCATTTGGAAAGCTATTGGAACAAATACACTATGATGACCTGCCCAATTGCACAATTCAAATTCTCTATGAAGCTTCCATTGCAAATCATTGTAAAAGATAAATAGTTTAAAAATACATGATAATATTGAAGCTGCAAGTCACCTATAATTATCCAAGGCAGCTGATGTTGCTTGGTGATAACAAATATTTTAAGAGTGATGTCACCATTTAATCTAACTGCCTACATGTCTCTATGTATCTTCACATTTTCTATATATTGTCTCCTGCTTGACCCCTGACCAGTTCCATAAGGAGAAGCACAGCTGATCAAAATAGATTATGCAATGAGTTAGATCACTCAAATGGTGCATACAGGCCCCCAAATGATGAGCCAATTGATTAGGAGACATTTCTTGTGCTCACTTAACTCCTGCTCCAGCCATATTGAACCTCTTCAACCTCCTCAGAGCTTATTCTTGCTCTTCGTTTTGCCTAATATGCTCCTCTCATATTTCCTCATGACCTATTCAGGTTGCTCACTCAAATTTCATCATCTAATTATCTCCTCCTCTTCTTGCCACCCCCATAACCCCATTCTTTTACCATGCTTTATTTTTCTGCACAGCACTTACCAGCCTCTGATTTTATCATGATTTTATCATCACTCATTTGTTTAGTAGAATATAAGTTATATTAGAACTGAAATGTCACCACTCTTATTCACTACTTTCATCTCCAGGATCTTACAATATAGAAGGCAACGCAAGTATAAATGGTGAGTAAATGAATACACTTATTATCCATTTACAGTAAAAATCTGGCAAATAAATGTCGATTCAATGGCTGGTTGCCTTTTAGGTTGCAGTTCTAAGATCTTAGGACTTATGTAGTTCTGCACACATTTTTTATTGAAATTAACTATATATAAATCATTCAGATGTGGACTTAAGATCTTTAACATTGAATATATAAGAATACTTCTCAATAAGAAACAATGTGAGATACAAATCATTGCATTGTGTAATGTAGTTGGTTGTCTTGGTCTCGAGATAATCAAGGCACCACTACAAACCTTCCTCACCAGAAATGTACCTTCCTCCCATTCTTATAAAAACCATTTAATATATTTATTATTCACACAATACCTACATTGATTTAGTCCTATTTCCAAATTGTGCCATAACCTTAATAACACTTAAAGCTGTGTCTTTAGGAGAAGTCTATTTAAAATAAAAATAATTACTTAAGCGACATACCTGTATTTTGAAAATTTGGAAATGTAATCAGGGTAGACAGCTACTATTTTGTGTTACAAATCTGAATGTGAAATTTCAGAAATCCTCCTTGCATTAAAAATGAATTAACTGTGTGATTATTAATTGTGCATATTCCAATCCCTTTGTGCTGTACTGCATGTTTCTTGAATCTCATTTGAATCCTTTGGCTAAGTAATGTGTCAAGGGGGGTTCGAGCCTGAATGCCTGAGTTATTTAAAAGGCAGGACAGCACTTCCAGATTAGAATACCAATGAGTGGGGTTAAAAAGGCTCTACTGTAGTTGGAGGGCAGCTCTCAGTCTGAGAAGTACCTGAAAAGGACCTCTATGGACTAATTTTCAGAATCACATTGTAATGTGGGCTCATGTCAATCATCAGAACAGACAGCTTCATCCCATGATATAAACTAGTTATACATTCAAGAGCTGCCAGAAGATCTTCATTAAAAAGGGACTTAGCATTAAAGGAAGAAGGTTGTTTTATTATAATACTTCAAACACAGTTTTTTGTTTTATATGTTCCCAGAATTCTTTTTTGTTCTTTGCTACAATATCAAAAAAGTACCACAGAAGAAGGAAAACATTAAATATTCCGTTTTTTAATAGGAATCAAGGAAGCTTTCTGGTTTAAGGCATTAAAATCATATACATTTTTCCTAAATTTATTCATGGCTTTGAATAACAAAAAGAAATCTCTAGATGTAATAGGAGGATGTTTTTAATCTTTTGTGGGAAGGGATTTGCAGAGCTGACTACTCAAGGTAAAATATCTACTGGCAAAGTATATCAGTGAAAGCTTTATACTTATAAATTTGTATAAAACCTTTGGGCTCTCCACAAGCTTCCAGATACCAGTTAGATATTACAATTGATGTCATTAAAATTTAATATAATTGTGTTAGGAGGAAAACAGGAACATTATCCATGTAAGTAAATCATTGACACTGTAATCTAGTATTTAAAAAAAACTTAACAGGGTTTTAATAAAACAGATAAATGTATCCTTTTTTTCCTATATTCAAAAGTGTCATTTGCAAACCTTAAATATATTTGTACAAGTCAGATAAACTCTTCAAAAATATTCAGTATATATACTTATTTACCTACATCATCTCATTTCTATCATAAAAATGTCAAAGCAAATGGCTTGGTAAATGGAATTAAAACAATTACATGATCTCTTGCAAATAAGGTATTTGCCTCATAGACTGCAATAAACTCTGTTTCTGTCATTCACTTTCAGTGAAGAAGAGACAATAATTGTGAATCATTTTCTCTCCTGAACTAAAATTGCCAGTTCCAGAACACATAATCTCAAGTTGATCTCATTATTTAAAAGTGTTCCTAATAGATGTATGGGTACTTACTTACAGACAACTCATTACAAACCACAATTTACAACTTTTCCTTATGACACTATCCTGCTCTATGTTAATTTTTAGTGCTTCCTCTCAGGAATCTACCTGGAAGCAAAATCATTAAAGCTACTTGTGAAAGCAACAGACCTGTCCTGGCGGGGATGTTCTCCCACCATCAGGAGGAATAGAGCTTAATTAAAGGTCTTCTGATGCTCAAAGTCCAAGTGCCCATGACAAAAGAGTGTGCTGGAAGCCTCTCTTCTTCATTCTATTTCTCCCATGTAATGATTTTTTATGTAAGATGACTCACTTTTTTCCATCATCCTCCTATAAACAGGCTCCAAAATTCACAGCTTAGATAGGATTGTGCACCCATACAATGCTTTTGCTAGTCATAGTGAGTGGTGAATTTGACAACCAAAATTTAACGGAAATTGTTAATCGTATTTTTGTCTAATCCCCACAGTACTATGGAGATGCAAGATGGCAGGCGGAATAAGGGAAGCCTATTATATGTAGATGGATTGTACATTTTCCTCTTCATATTCCCCCGTTTTGTAGGGGAATGTAGCTTTATATCACTGAATAGACTGGTGTTTTATCTATACTCAGAATATAGAAAATGATATCATATTTCAGAAAATTAATAAAAATGGAAAATAAATAATAGTATGTGGTGCCTGAGTATCATTTTGATAGGAAGTCAGCAAAAATTTGGCTGGTGACATATAAAAAAAGGAACTGCCTTGAACTGACTAATAGTTACTGGATTCAGGGTGAAAAATTGCTAGTTTATTGAATTTTGTTGTCTGATGTAAATGTCTCGATTCTGAATCATTAAAAAGATTATGTTTGTAGCATTTTTTGTAATTAAAATATTTTATATATTTATTACATCAGGCTTCATTTTTGTACAATGTATGATTTCCCCATGAAATTCCCACTAATTCACCTGTGCACCATCACCATAGTCCCCTGTGCTCTTCCCACCCCATCCTGAAAAAAAGAGAGAGATCAGTAATTTTTTCTTTTACTGTAGCCACATA